TGCTTAGCCCACCTGACTGTTCAACCCGAATTGATTTAGAGAATAAAAAAAGTTCAATTCACCGATTCCACCCTAGCAGCTCTGAAGAAAAATGCAGAACATGATGTAAATCTAGAATTTCGAGTCTCTACCGATGAGTTACTTAAGTTTCAAGATAGAGTGTGTGTTCTAAATGATAGTGAACTAAAGAGGGACATCATAATAGAGGCTCACAACTCAAAGTTCGTCATACATCCTAGAAGTACTAAAATGTATTAAAGTATGCGACCCCAGTTTTAGTGGAGCGGGATAAAAAAAGAGGTAGCTGACTTTGTTTTCAAGTGTCTAATATGTCAACCAGCCAAAACAGAGTATCAACATCCAAGTGGGCTATTTCAACCATTACCGATCCCGAAGTGAAAGTGAGAACATATCACAATAGATTTCGTAACAGGGTTACCTAAGGTACGCTCAGGATATAATGTCATTTAGGTAATTATCGACTGACTCACCAAGTCTTCTCACTTCTTGGCTATCAAGATGACCGACCCCTTGAACAAACTAGCAAGAATGTATATTAGGGAGGTAGTCATGTTACATGGAGTTCTAGTGACAGTGGTATTCGACAGAGATCTCAGGTTCACTTCTTAGTTTTGGTCTAGTTTTCAGCAAGTTATGAGAATGAAACTGTCCCTTAATACAATATTCTACCCTCAAATCGATGGACAATCAGAGAAGATGATTCACACACTGGAGGATATGCTCCGAACTTGTGTTCTAGACTTTAGGGCCATTAGGATGATCATTTACCTTTGATAGAGTTCGCCTATAATAATAGTTACCAGGTAAGTATTGATATAGTTCCGTATGAGGCATTGCATGGCCGTCCCTGCAGGTCGCCATCTGTTGAGAAGAAGTGGATGATAGAAAATTATTCGGCTAAGAACTTATGGAAGAGACTACAGTCAAGATAATTAAGATAAGGAAGAACATCTAGATAGCTCATAACAGACATAAGTTATGTAGACACCTAGAGGAGGGATTTAGAGTTTGAGAAAGGTGATCGAATATTTCTTAAAGTCACCCATTTCAAGAGGATCAGTAAGTTTCTCAAAAGGAGAAAATTAAATTCCCAGTTCATCGGGTCATATGAGATCTTAGAGGATTGGTACGACCGCCTACAAACTGGCACTACCTTCAGAGGTGTCCAAGGTTCATAATGTGTTCCACGTATCCATGCTACACAAGTATAACCCTGACTCCTTAAACATCCTGTCCCACGTGCTCTTTTCACTCCAGGAGGATCTATCCTATGAGCATGTACCAGTAAGCATTGTAGATCGAAAGAATATAGTACTCCACAACCAATAAAGTTTTTTCCTCAAGGTCTTATGGCAAAACCATATGCAAGAATAGATCACTTGGGAACTGGAATCAAGCTTCAGAGTCTAGTACCTCCAGCTGTTCAACTGAGTGAGAGAGTGACCAGTTTGAGAGATAAAATTTTCTTAAGGGAGGAGAGTTGTAATACCCGGGCTTGAAAAACGGCATGGGATAAATTTTTCTTATGAAATTATTTAATTGAAATAATTAATTAATTTATTTTAGTTTTATTTTATTAAATTTTTTTAAAAAAATGGATTGGGGACGAGATTAAAAATAATTTTGTGAAAAATGGGTGAAAAATTGAGTTCGGGGGGAGGGGGGGATTTGAAAGAAAAATTAGAAACAGGGGTCAAAGTACAAAAAGAGAAAATTCAGCCACGTGGAACGATCTAGTTAGTAGTCTTGATGAAGCAAAGCACGCCACGCGTCAAAACACGCTGACGTTGACACTACGCGAGCGATCTGCGTGCCCAGTGATCCAACGGCCCAGGTTTGATCCTGCACTCGGGAACAATTCAGAATCATTTTTTCCTTAAGCGCGATCATATGGAC